CCGGAAGTCAAGACTATAATACTGTGCGGTATTGAGGCTCATGTCTGTGTACAGGGAACCGCTCTCCAGGCGCTCGAAGATGGTCTCAAAGCACTTAACTATTAATTAAATTACAAATAATTATATTTAATATTTGTTTGAATGCATTGAAGGCTATGACGTGCATATAGTGGTGGACGGGTGTAGTTCCCGGTCAATGGTTGACCGCATGTTTGCCTTCGAGCGCATGAAAGCCGCCGGTAATCGACTCATGCATTCATTTAAGACTTTTGTTAAAAATTTTGTCTTAAAATTATATTTTCTATCATTTAATATGAATTAATAGGCGCTTGGCTTACGACTAGTGAATCAGTTATACTGTAAGTACTGTTTGAATGAATGATAAATTAGACGCCATTCCCACTCATACCCCTCTGCCCTCTTTAACAGTGGGTTAGTGGGGGACGCCTCCAGTCCTCACTTCAAGGAGTGTCAGAAACTGATTATGCAATCGGCGCCCGACTCCGGATTGCTCAGCCTTTTTTCGCAAAAGTTGTGAACAATTTTCCGATTCTGGTTCTGTAATACAGAATCTGTATTAAGATTTCGATATTTTTTATATTCAAATAAAATTACGATTTTTTAATTGCAAATTGGATTTTACTTTTAATTATCTAAAGTTACTACGGTAAAAATAATTGCATTTACAGTAATTGGAAAGTTTATGCGCGCACTGAATGTTTTGTTAGATTACTTGTAAATTTTTAAATGTTTAAATCACTACTAAATTGATCTATAAAACACTTTTTATACCTTTTGTTTGGACAATGATTTTGTTGAGACCCCAGACATCAACTGTCGTGACAAATGTGAATGTCTTCGAAGCAAAGGTCATACTATTGGGTTTGGAGGGAGTGGTGGCTCCAAATGAATTAGATAATCAACTCTTCATTCCATACATTCGTCAAAATGGGTTCAATTTTCTCAAACAAAACCGAAACAACGATTCAGTCGTGAATCTGATCCCAGCACTGAGACAACTGTCATATCTGGAGCACTACCGCAACGGTTATCCCGAGTGTCCCGTCATTCTAGACGAAGACGATAGTGAGGATCAAGTGTTGGCTTCTGTTCACAAGTTTATCGTTTGGCAAATGGATTTCAAACGCGAGTCCAATGAATGCCATACTATTCAACGTATGGTCACTGAGGAGGGCCTGAATGGGAAACACATTAAAGTCAATGTCTATGAAGACGT